CTCTCTCTCTCTCTCTAACTTTACAAAAAATATTGTAAAACTAATATCTTATGAATAAATACTAGAAAAAGTGATATGAAGTTAAAAAGTAAATGTAATCCAAACCTTTGAGACACTGGCGGATAAGCCGGCCTGACATGAGCCCTGTCTGTGATAACCCCAGGCGTCTGTGAAGGAAAAAGTAAATTTTTTATATTAAAAAATGTCAATATTCTTGTGAACAGAAAGAAAAAAATACAAAATCAAAAGGGATTTAGGGATAAAAATTTAATGTTTTTAAAAACATCTTAAAAACGAGTGAAAATATGTGAACATATGTTTAAAAATAAAATTTCTTGGAAATTATTTCAACAAAAAACAAAACAAAAAATAATCGCTTTTGTTATATAAAACTTGTAAAACAAAGAAAAAAGTCTTTAAACAATTTTAAAATCCCTTTTCAGGTACTGTTTGTATCGAAACACGAATTAGACGTCTTTCATAATTACATGGTCTTAAACCATAGCATTATTATTATTGCGTTTTCATGTGTTTAGTTATTAAAGTAAAACCAAAATATCCAAAAAACAAATGTTTCACAGAAATCTATAGTTTTATTTTGTGCTAATATTAAGTGCAAACAACCAAAAAATAACACAAATTAAATAATATATACACAAAAAGCATTAGTGAGAGAGAAAAAGGTAATAACAAAAAGTAGTGAAAGATTTGCAAAAAGTTGTCAGATTATTATAATTTTGTACAAAACGGTAATCCTTACCATAATTGGCAACAATTTGTTTTAAATATTAATATTTCATACGTTAAATGCATTAGTAATGAAAAGAGTTGTCATTATTATGTTTTTAAAGCTAAAGATTTGAGAGAAATGTTAAGAAATAAGCGTTAGTTTTAATTAAATGCCGAGTTATTGAAAGGTATTTGTCATGTTTTGCATATAAAATAATTTATTAATTAAAATAATAGTAAAATTAATTTAATATTCATATAGTACTCACGCGTACGACAGGGAGAGTATTCAAAAAAGCCGGTAAATGAGCCCCGGGATATCCAACACGTGCCCACCGGGTCCCTCCTTTTTAACGTGGTTGAATAGTATACATAACGGGGCGCACATGCCTTTTAGCAAATTAAATGACCATGTTTTAATATATAACTTATTGTTTAATAGTTTAATCATGATTCATAATAAATAAAGTGAATAAATACCACGATCATCCCATTCTCGCCGGCGCTATGAAGGGTCGCACCGAACCATTGATTAGATTTCTCGTCCGTTTGTTTATTCTCGCCGTTAATAAATATCTGTCCCGAACCTAACCATACAAACCATGTATACAAAAACACATTAACATTTAGTGTGTGTTTAAATGACAATAATTATAGAATATTAGTGTTATTATTGTTGGAAAGAATTCAAATGACATCAATATGTGGTGTGCCTTATGTTATGAGAGGAGAGAGAGAGAGAGAGAGAGAGA